TATATATATATATAATTATTTATTTATATATATGCTTGCAAATAGATTAATATATTAGATATATATATATATATATTATATATATATATATATATGTAGGCTTGAGGGTTAAGGGTATTTCATGCATCAACGAAAACGTACACTAGGTTCCTAGGTCCTAGGTGATAAATATAAATGCCCCACAAGGCCCCAAAGCCTTGCCTTTATATGAAGCCTTAAACCTTGAAAACTCCAAAGCCGAACAACACCCAAGCCCTGAATTCTGAAAATGCCCCAAGCCTGGAACTACTTGAAACCCGAAAGCTTGAAGTGCTTTGGGGTTTGGGTATGAATTGAGTTTGCTGCTTCAGGGGCATATAGGATTGGTAGGTTTTTGTAGTCTACGAAACTTCTGGAGCAGGGCCAGGTAGCTACCCAAATATAATTATATAGTGGGGGCTTGGGCAACCTACCTACCAGGCAACCTACCCCACCATAGAACCCTTCCCTATATAACCTAGCCAGCCAAGGCCTCTTACCGCCCAGGCACCCCGACATCTTCAGCTCGTCCCTGCGTCCGGTGAAGCGACGACGGCCATTCTTGTCGACGTGTCTGCCTTGGCTATGGATGGTTGGGTTTGGGGTTGGTGATATATTGCATTAATTAAGGAGGGGTGCGGACTGTAGTCAGCTTGTTGCGCTTCTGCTTCTCGGCTTTGGTAAGACGGCCGAGGTCCAACTGCGATATAGTAGGCATTGGTGATAACACAATCGTTGGCTTGGGGCTCGCCGCACCATGCAGCATCATCCAGAATCGTTGTTGGAAAACCTTGGGTCATCACGAGATCAGCAGGCAAATGTGAATCTAGTTGATATATATTTTTCAACTGAGAAGCTCTCACAACTTGATTGCACATCCAGTCCCAGCGGTGGTGTTTCTTCAGCAACGACTGGTGGGGCTGCTCTATAAGCCATGTGCACTGTCTAGCCATGACCAGGAGCAGGAAGAGCACAAGCCTAGCAGTTGCATGCGTGCTATGCCATATGGA